GTGGGCAGCCAGGGAAGATGGCCCTGATCGCAGGCCAGGCCTAGAGACTGTACCCGCGCACGAATTTCGTGCACTGGGCCTCTAGTCTAAAATAAGCATCAGAATAGAATCATGATGGGCATAAATGATCAGAAAAGAAATTCATACTTTTGTTACATTAAGTAGACAAAGGCTGATCAGGCTGGGGAAAATAAGCCTGAAGTACATATGTGTATTTTGTTTCGTTTACTGTCATCAGTGTTGTGGAAATTGTGTTGTATGGGAAATTTACCTGATTTATTAAATTTTTATAGATATATTGATAATTGTTGCAACTCAGTGATGGATATGTGAAGGTTTATTATGCTGTTCTACCTACATTTTTGTAGTTTGAAATTTTCTATAATAAAATGTGAAAAAAAAAAGTCTTATGGATGAGCCTGCTAATGCATTGCTTCTTTTATTTCTGTTCTGTCAGGATAGTTTTGTGATACTTGCTCAGTTAGATCACTAGAGAACTACCTGAGTTTGTCTTTAGGTTTTTATATTTTTGATTACCACAGGAATGCTTTTTTGCTTCTTTGTATGCTTTTTTGTTATTTTTCCTTTTTTATATTTTATGTAGATGTATTTCTGAAATTAATATTTGAAACCGCTTGAAATGCTACTCTATTTTTTATTTTTCATGGAAAACACTAAGCCAGTGTTTCATTTTATACTTAATATTGTAAGTTACATATATACTCATATACTCATCTGCTATTTCCTGACTTCTGTGTCTAGGGCACTGTTAGATGTCATATTTTATATAGGATTTTGCATAGAGTATGCTTAAAGGATAATTGTATTTTTAGAACCATTTCCAAAAAAAAGCCAGGCATTTTAAAAAAATATATTTTTATTGATTTCGTAGAGGAAGGGGAGAGGGAGAGAGTAATAGAAACATCAATGATGAGAGAGAGTCACTGATCGGCTGCCTCCTGCACTGGAGATTGAGCCTACAACCCAGGCCTATGCCCTTGGCCGGAATCGAACCCAGGACCCTTCAGTCTGTAGGCCAACACTCTAGCCACTGAGCCAAACTGGCTAGGGCCAGCCAGGCATTTAGATACAAATATTTAGGTACTCTAGACTTTGAGTGATTAACTTCTGTCAGATTTATTATGTCTAATTCATTCATTGATTATTTATTGAGTTCCGTTTCTATTCTAGGCATTCTTATTGACTGAACAAGACAGTCAAGGTTCCTTGCCTTCATGGAGCTTACAGTCTAGTGGGGTGACACAACATAAACAAACAAATAAGATAATTCATATGGGTGATTTATTCTGAGCTCATACAGAAGGTAAGATGCTTGCGAGTGTTGGGGAATAGATTGGGTATCCAGGAAAGCCTCTTTGGGATGGTAACATTTTAGCAGATACCCGAAAGACAAGATAGAACTAGCCATTCACAGAGTTGGGGAAAGTGTGTTCTAAGACTACCTGGTGCAACGTTCTGGAGGGAAGGAACAAGCTTAACATGTTTGAGGAACAGTAGTAAGACCAGTGTGTCTGCAGGACAATGGAAAGGGAATGGTGAGAGATGAAGCTGTGTGAGGTTAGCAGAAATCAGATCATGTAGGGATGATAGTTTTATGGAAAAGAAGGTTGTCTTGATTACTAGTACAGTTGCTAAGCAAGATCATGACAACTGATTTACATTTGAAAATTTGCTCTGGTTGCTGTGCAGAGAAAGAATAGAAGGAGGGGCAGGAGTAGTAGAGAGACCAGTTAGGGAACATATGCAATCATGAGATTGTGGTGGTTTACAACTAGGTTTACAGTTGTAATACAAATAAATAGTACAAGATTAAACTCTGCACATATTCACAACTATAAACCTGCTTTTGCCTACCCCTTTATGTACATTCATGTACAAGTCTTTGTGAATATGTTTTCATTTCTCTTGGATAGATCCTAGGAATGAAATTTTGGGTCATGGGAGTGTGTTTCATATTACAAGAAACTGCCAAATTATTTTCCAAAGTGGTGGTATCATTTTACGTTATCAGCATTGTAAAAGAGTCCCAGTTACTCCACATTGTCACACACTTTTGGTATTACCTGCCAGTTCCTTTTATTTTAAGTCATTGTAGTGGCTATAAAATGGTATCTTATGGCGTGTGTTTTTTCTGATTTGATAATTTTTTTATTATAAAATTTACCATTTTAACCATATTTAACTGTTACAGTTTGAGTACATTCACATTGTGCAACCATCACCACCATCCATCTTCAGAACTTTTTCATTATCACAAACTGAAACCCTGTCCTCATTAAGTGAACTCCCCATGCCCTGCTCCCCCAGCCCTTGGCAGCCACCATTATATTTTCTGTCTCTCTGAGTTTGACTACTCTAGGAACCTCATATAAGTGGAATCATACTAAATTTGTCCTTTAGTGTCTGGCTTATTTCACTTAATGTCTTAAAGGTTTATCTATGTTGTAACATATATCAGAACTTCGTTTTTAAGACTGAATTATATTATTCCATTCTATGTATATGCCACATTTTGTTTATCCATTCATCTCATGGACATTTGGATTGTCTGGTGTTTTAATTTGCATTTACTTAATAATTAATGATGTTGAAAAGCTTTTCATATGTTTCTTGGCCATTCAGATAACTTCCTTTGCTTGCTTTAAAAAAATGTGTCATTTTCTTATTGCTGATTTATAAGCTTTCCTTATATATTCTTTTTTTCCCCTTATTTTTATTGATTTTAGAGAGGAAGGGAGAGGGAGAAAGAAATAGAAACATTAATGATGAGAGAGAATCATTGATAGGCTGCCTCCTGCATGTCCCACACTGGAGATCGAGCCTGCAACCCGGGCATGTGCTCTGACTGGGAATGAGTTCCTGGTTCATAGGTCAACACTCAACCACTGAGCCACGCCGGCTGGGCTAAATTTTCCTTACATATTTTTGATACATTCCCTGGATCAGAAACTTTTGTTGTAATTATTTCTCCTTGACTATGGCTTACCTTTTTGTTTTTTTTTCTTCTCATTGTTTTGGGGTGTTTATACAGAAGAAAGCAGGCCCATCTTTTTACCATCATAAATCTGAAAGTTTTCTTGAAGTGCTTCACTGCCTGGGAGGTAGTCTCCAGTGGAGTGATTTGGGGATGAGGCAAGATGATATGGAATACCTTCTTAAATATTACAGTACCATTATTTTATATGTATGGCTATCTAGCCTGGTGGGCGTGGCTCAGTGGTTGAGTGTCAGCCCATGAACCAGGAGGTCACGGTCCAATTCTCGGTCAGGGCATGTGCCTGGGTTGCGGGCTTGATCCCTGGTGCGGGGCGTGCAACAGACAGCCATCAGTGATTCTCATTATTGATGTTTCTATCTCTTTCTCCCTTTCCCTTCCTGTCTGAAATCAATAAAAAATATATACTAAAAGAAAGGTATGACTATCTAAACCTATCCAGAGAATGATTTGGTTTGTAAAAAATAGTTTTCTGCTCTGGTACATTGTAATATTACAAAAGGTGATTTTTTTTTTTAAATTAAATCTTTATTGTTCAGGTTACATTTGTTCCTCTTTTTTTCCCCCCCCATAACTCCCCTCCTCCCAGTTCCCGCCCCACCCTCCGCCCTCACTCCCCACCCACTGTCCTCATCCATAGGTGCACGATTTTTGTCCAGTCTCTTCCTGCATCTCCCATTTCCCTTTCCCCCCCAAGAATAGTCAGTCCATTCCCTTTCTATGTCCCTGATTCATTATAATCACCAGTTCATTCTGTACATCAGATTATTTATTCACTTGGTTCTTAGATTCACTTGTTGATAGATGCATGTTTGTTGTTCACAATTTGTATCTTTACCTTTTTCTTCTTCCTCTTCTTAAAGGATACCTTTCAGCATTTCGTATAATACTGGTTTAGTGGTGATGAACTCCTTTAGCTTTTCCTTATCTGTGAAGCTCTTTATCTGACCTTCAATTCTGAATGATAGCTTTGCTGGATAAAGTAATCTTGGTTGTAGGTTCTTGGTATTCATCACTTTGAATATTTCTTGCCATTCCCTTCTGGCCTGCAAAGTTTCTGTTGAGAAATCAGCTGACAGTCGTATGGGTATTCCCTTGTAGGTAATTGAGTCTCTTTCTCTTGCTGCTTTTAAGATTCTCTCTTTGTCTTTTGCTCTTGGCATTTTAATTATGATGTGTCTTGGTGTGGTCCTCTTTGGATTCCTTTTGTTTGGGGTTCTCTGCGCTTCTTGGACCTGTAAGTCCATTTCTTTCACCAGGTGGGGGAAGTTTTCTGCCATTATTTCTTCAAATAGGTTTTCAATATCTTGCTGTCTCTCATCTTCTGGCACCCCAATTATTCTGATGTTTGTACGCTTGAAGCTGTCCCAGAGGCTCCTTACACTATCTTCGTATTTTCGGATTCTTTTTTCATTTTGCTTTTCCGGTTGGGTGTTTTTTGCTTCTTCGCATTTCAAATCTTTGGCTTGATTCTTGCGCTCCTCTGGTCTGCTATTGGGTGTCTGTATAATATTCTTTATTTCAGTCCGTGTATGCTTAATTTCTAGTTGGTTCTTTATCATAGCATCGAGGGTCTCATTAGTTTTCGTGACTCTCTCCTCAAGTTTATTGACAGCTTCTAGCACATTTTTGCAAGCCCTCAAAATTGCGATTTTTAGCTCTATATCCTCCATTTCTGTCATGTTTTTTTGTCTCCGCATTTTTTATGCTTTCTTGGTGCACCCCCTAGTGGTCTTTGTGCGCAGTCTTGTTCTAGTTGAGCCTTGATTGTTGTAGTTAATACTAGAGGGATTTGACCACCAGGCCGACTGGCTGTGTGAATCAGCTGTGTCTGCCGCGGAAAACTTCTGTCCTCTGGGGAGGTGCTAATCTAGCCTTTGCCTGAGGCTATCCGGCAAATGGCTCTGCGCAGGGCTTGGGCGGGGCGGGCTCAACAGGGCGGGCGGAGGGAGCCGTTATGGTGCCCTCAGTCCTGTTCCCAGAGGCTCTGCTTCTCAGAACCCCCGGAACCGCTGCAAACCTCGGAGGGAAAGCTGCCTTCCAACTGATGCCAGACACTCCCGCTTCTCCCGTTTGGGTCCGAGTCCCCAGCGATTCGCCCGTATCTGGAGCTCAGAGTCTGAGACTCCCCCCTGACCGAAAACGACAACCGCGCTCTCAGCCACCAGCCCGCTTTGCGCGCGCACCTCCGCACCTGAGTTTTTTCCACACTGCGCCTCCTCTGAGCCTCGGTGTGCTGTTATTTTTCCTTCTAGTTGAAGAGTCTCTCCTCAGCCAGCCTTCCTGTGGTTCTGGGTGATGTCCGTTCCGTCTTTTAGTTGTATTTTTGAAGTGGTTGTTTGCGGCAGCAGTCTCCGGTGTTTACCTATGCCGCCATCTTGGTCTCTCCTCTACAAAAGGTGATTTTACCTTTGAACTGATTGAGCCTCTATCCTAAGACAATAATTTAAGACAAGCACTAAATGAAATTGATCATTGCTGTATTTTTTATAAATGAAAAATGGAATTATCTGAATGTGCAAAGAAAGGAGTAGTATGTGCAACATAGAAAATATGCCTTTGTACTAAGAAGCTGACTTTTTTTTTTTTTAGAACCTCCCTGAGGATATGTTTTTATTAATTCTTAGAGAGAAACAGACAAACATTGATTGGTTGCCTCCTGCCCATCCACCAACCAGGGATTGAACTCTGGACCTAGGTATGTGCCTGACCGGGAATAGAACCCACAACCTTTCGGTGTACGGGACAATGTTCCAACCAACTGAGCCACCCAGCCAGAGCCTAAGAAGCTAACATTTTGTTCTGGTTACAAGTGTGTAAAATATCCAATATAATATCTGGGTTGCAAATACCCCATCTGTAAAATCATATAGTAAAATAGCTACCTTATTGGGTTGTCTTGCGATTGGAAGGAAAGAATGGCCCCTAACGTTTTAGCTCATGCCTGAAATGGTAAGTATGCAATAAATGCAATCTCTGCTGCTGTTTCTTACACAATATGATGGTATGTGTAAATGGTTGTGGGATTATGTGTGTAAATGATTGTGGGATTATGTGTGTTCCAATCACCTCTTATTTTCTTGAAGGTGATTTTTCCCTTTTCTGTTACCTACCACATTAAATTATCACCAAATTCTATACTAGTATAGGTCTTGAATCCATCAGCTTTTTTCCACCTTCATTGATGTCATCTATTCTAGCTTACTCCTGGAGCTGTCTCCCAGCTGGTCGCACTGCATCTTTTTTTGCACCTCTTACAGTCTGTATTCTTTTTAAAAAAAACAACCACCAAAAAACCCCAGAAATTT